TGTTAGACGAGCGGTTAAAAACCACAGACTGCCTGGAGTGTTCGACGGCGAGCAAAAGATAATAAAACAGTGATCGACGAATGTAGGAAGTTCAAGCGAACTTCACGGTATTTAGTAACGCTAGACGCGAAAAGAGAAACGCGATAGTAGACGGATCGTATGCAAATCACGATGGTGGCGATCGTAAACTCCCTCGCTGGCCGGCCAGCCAGCCGGCTGGACTATTTCCCAATGTGGGAAAATACGTATACGATATCTGATGCGGAACCATTTGCACGAGCTAGGGGTTTGGATTTAGTTAAATGAAGACGCGCTTTGAAAGTGATCTTATCGGTGCACGTGTTTATCGACTCTCCATCTAACCATCTCCGGCGAATTGGATCAGTGAATCTACGTACTGAAAGTAATTAATTTGCCTTAGTGGCAGGTAAATCGTTAAATGTACAAACGGTATCATCCGATTACAAAAGAAAAAAAATGATCGCATTAACAGAGCGCATAGCAGACGCTTGATTAATTCAATCAATTTTCAATCTTGCGTTACATCATGTTTGCTGTGTTGATTATTATTATATTATTATATATATTACATTTATTTTCAATTTTGGATTAACAATATATGTACAAAATGTCCATTATAGATTTTATTAAAGCAAAATTGTATATAAATATAATAATAAATAATAACGAATAACAGATAATTACAGTCATTGTAATAATAATAATAATATATATAGTAATTCTTTGTTTCCCTCTTTCTATATTTTTCAGATTATTTTCCTTATGTTGCTTTCAAATTAATAACATTATAATCTTTTCCTGCTATAATAATAATTGTCGTGTAAATTAATGAGAGAGGGATGGGGAGGGGGAGAAAGAGAGAAAGGATTATTATTTTTAATATTTATTCTCCGCCTTTTACAAGGATTCTGTCTGTGCAGTTTCCTAATGAGCACACAAGTCAAGGATGAATAAAGGCCTCGAGAATTCAACCGGCAGCAGAAATATGACCCGTTGAATTCCTCTCGCTGCATATGTTGTTCAAAGTATCGCAGCTGCCGGCGAAAGTAGAAATATGACGAATTTTTCCTCCACGTATTATCTTCTAATTATAACATCCGATCCACGGACGAGGATTCTTGTTTAATTGCGTCACGTGCCGTGGTGTAAATAAAATAAATAGTCAAATAAAACCTCTCATTTCAGTTTTATGCATAGAATTTGCACAGCAAAAATTGTTGAATATTTTTGAGAAAAGAATCTACGGAACCACAGTGCGCGGTAATTAAGCTTATCGTTTCATTCAATTTTATATCGCATTTCATTGTTACATTCTTTACGGTAATTAAAAAAGTACTTTCGCGGGTCTGTTTTACATTGTTGATTTTGTTTAACGAATATAATTTTAAATATCTGCGTAGCAATACATTTCTCTGAGTGTTACAAGAGGTACGAGATTCAATAGTGATAAAACAAAGCAAGGAGATAAATGGGAGCAATGTACGATGGTAGATAATTAGCGGTACTTAATAATTAGCGTCGGCATCTGGTCGCGAGAGACAAAATGCCGGCGGGTATGTGCGTGCCTGCAGTGCAGCAGGACTCGTGGAAATGACGTCGCTGGCCTCTTTCAGGGAATGGGAAGCTCGCATTACTCCTTCCGCCGTAATCACTTTGGCCGTAGCCTCTCTGGTAGCTTCCGCTTCCATGGCCATAGCTCCGTTGGAATTGTACCGGAAGTCGGACGTCCTTTCTGAAACAGAGGTATCCGTTAGGTATCCGTTTCAGGCAACCGCGTGGAAATTCATAGACGATATGCGAGCGTGAGCGTGAATGGCGTTAAGACTGTTATGATGACTCTAACAACAAATAGCATGACAGTCATTGTTACTTCTTCGCTTTCAAATGTCTCTGTCTAGAAATGTCTCAGTAGTCAGCATTGCAATTTTGCTTCAATTAATTTCAATGAAATAAAAGAATTTTCTGTAGGAAATTATATTTTGACTCTCTATATGCTTTTTTTAGTTGTTGTTTTATATTTTTAAAATAAATGATAAAACAATATGTGCAAAAAAATTGTACCAAAAAAGTACAATCACATTGATTAATTTTTTATAAAAAAATTGTTGCATCGATGCGATTGTATTTTTTTTTAGCGAAATCATAAACTTTTCTTGTACGTATTATTTTATTAGGTATGGATACATATTATTTATAGTTTGTGATAATTCTTGTCAATGAGTATACAAAATTGTTCACAATAAGACTATTTTAATCACGAGTTATAATGTCGAAACGGTAATACCGCTATGTTGTTACATGTATATAGGGCGCAATATGCAGCAATAATCTAATTACTCCTTAATAACACTTCGTCGATGTAAATATAAAGCGTATCGATTCGTTTCGTCCGACTGTGAAATTTTATCGGTCGTACGGCGGCCAAATAAACGACCATTGACTTGTTTTACGCGAACGCGGATTCGGCGAACACATTTAAATTTTAAATCACGCCTCGTTCTGCCCTTTTTTTATCTCTGTCAGTCGAAATACATTTTCGTTAGCGCATTATTTTTATCGAATCACCCTCGCGCAGCTGCGCAACGTTCGCATTATTTGCCGATCAAGCGATTTCGCGTTGATTTGCATTGGTCATTCGTTCGTAACAATCTTTTTTGATTCTTGTATGACTGCTGTCCATGTGAAGCAAAGATTTGCGAGAATTCTATAATTATTTAATCCTAATAATTTGTCATTAATGAAAAATGCTAAGTAAAGATAATTGCTATCGCGACTTTAAAAACACAAATGATACAAAATCTACATCGAGATTAGAAATTTACAGAAGATTAAGATGGTGACTCTTGATCTTCTTGTCGCTATCCTAAGTATAAATGAATTAATTACACAAATGATAAATCGATAATAAGGAAGAATAATATTTCTTAATCGTGCATGCGATACATTAAAATATCAAGACACAATGTCAATATCTCGACTTTGATTCTCAGAGGATCAGTTAGCTTGTTTAAAATGGTCTCTGCATGATGTGGGAAATAATCTCCCACTCCCCGACAGGAGTAGTCTCGCTACCTCAACGAGACTGCTTATACCCTTTGCAGCGTACTCGCAACCAGCTACCACGTCGAATTGCTGGAAAAAGTAAGTGAAAGGGATGACGACTAGCCCGTGACTCGCCGCGCCGCTGCGCCATCGGGGGCGGCAAACCGTGAACGAGTCCCGTTGCTGGTAGCCGTTAAACCCCCACGGAACGCTGCTGGAACGTCGACACGCTGTGTCGACTGTTCCTCGTAATTTTTAACGGACCAGAAACCAAGCTACATGCGACCCTTTGGACGTGACTCTAAATTACTCTAAAAGCATTATTGGAACAACGTGGTGATACGCGCGTCGTACTGAGCGAACACAGACACACGTTGACACCTTTAACGGTGTAACGTTATATATAGTGTTTTAAAAATATAATAAATAAAACTAAATTCTTTATCGCTTCCCCCTATATTGTTGTATTAAACTTGTTGCTCTCTTGTACCGTGTTGTTCTAATTGCTAATTTGACAATTGCTATATACATTTGCAAAAATAAACTGAAAATTATCGCACAACAAACTCTGCAAGCGGCGCAAAGCTCGTTACGCAGTTCATCACTGTTAACCCGGAAAAGCTTTTAACATGCGCAATTAGCTTATTTTCATTATACCGCTGGTGCACGTCCTGTCTCTGATTCTCGCGATGACCAAAACTAAAGAGATTGCAGCGAGTACTGAGTAGAGATGGGAAGAAAAGGAAGGGGTTAGGAAAAAAGCGCACGCAATCAAGTATTTAAATGCCGTGCCAACAGCACGATGGAGACGCGATGTGTAACCAAAGGAAAAACTGCAGAGCGCTTTCATCTAGCTGCTAGAAATAAACTCGGGAGTAAAACTGTCAGGATAAAGCGAAAACTGTCAGCCGGGAACGCAGACTAATAGCACAATTCACAAAGATAAGATAATATCGTAAACCAGTGTTGGGTCTTACGCACCGTCAGCCAAATTGAAAAATCTAACGTTCTTCCTTCTAATATCTCTTCGCTCTGTCGCTTTTCTTCGTGTTTGATTTCAGAGCAAGAATAATAAATAATACTTTGATATTACCTTCCGTATTTACAGTTCGCAATTTGTACAATGACATTCAGACGATTCTTTATGCGATAGTAAACAACGCGTCGACTATACGTCATGAAGTCTTTATTAAAGCAGGTCAAAGGACACTGTCCTTAGGTCTACGTATACAATAGTCGATACACAGCGTAACGAGAAATTAATTACGGACTTCTGCATCAAATCGATAAAAAAAAAATATCTGTGAAATATTGTAATCATTTACACAAGTTACAAGTTTACGCTACAGGGTCGCGCGAGTTCTACACTTCAAACGACTCACTTAAAGTAACTCTCTCGTAAACGACTTTGAATAAACAGCAGAAAGGAAATGGCAATGTGATCGTTAAAGTAATGATCCTATATCGTTGCTAGAAATTCGGCAATCTTATGTTACTCACTTTTTCGTTTACGTTTATAGCTACATGACGATCGACCTCTTGTTCATAGTGAAAAAAAATAAGGACTTAAATATTTTTTTTGTGTTAAAATTTTAATTTTTTTATTGAATATCACTAAATAAATTGTTTAAATACCTTATATCGTTTTATTGACATTCATATATGTATCAAGAGACACGGTAGTGTCTCGCGCCAAGTGAACGCGAAGCGCGAGACCGCACGTGTATCTTTACGCGAGTCGATGAGTTCCGTGTACCCGAGATTATCGGATCTCACAATAAATGGCTGAATTTATCAACTTTTATATATCCGTAATTTAGTTTTAGTGTTTAAATTATATTATAAATATGTTTTTATTGTCTACGTACCCTACGAAGGAAGATATCTCGATGTGAAGATGAAATGTCAAAAATTTTAACATCGGAAATGTTGTCCTTTTCACGTTTTAAACGATAGACGGCGTTAAATTGTTGTCCTTTTCACGTTTTAAACGGCAGACGGCGCTTGCTAGCATATTTTATTTTATATCGATTAGCTGTCAACGTAATGACATTAGATAGATAAAAATCAACGATAGCAAAGGAGGATTTTTGTATCCTGTTATAAAGCAGTCAATGTCTTGAAAGTTCACGGAAAAAGTGTTCGAGGCTATGCTTTGAACTGTACTGTCGCCTCTCAAGCAATGCCGAAGAGGATAACGAACGCGAAAATCGCATGTCTAGACTTCTCGTTGCAAAAAAGCTGATCTGAAAAGAATTGCTAAAGCTACAGGTGTGCAATTTCTAATTTCGCTAATCAACATAGAAGGAGAGGAGAGTTTTGATGCTAGTTTTATATAAATTCTCACGGAATTATAATTAGTACCTAAGATACAGTTCGATCGTTAAAGGCATTTTATTGGTTGTGTTTCTCACGGTCTTATAAGATTTAATATTTAAATATTGTTTCTTTTTTATTTTAAGGCCAAAGGCACGCACAATGAGCTCTATTATTATATTTTATTATAATGTTTTTTTTTTTAATATTTTATATACAGATTTATAAGAAATATTTAACATTACAAAAAATGCGTGATATCTCAACAAAATTACCTTTTTAAAAAAAAGGAAAAAAAGGCGCCAAGTGTGTTAGCCTCACAAAATAAAATGAAATCTTTTTAAATTGCGCCAATTATGAAAGGAATATATTTTCTTGACACATATATAACATACTTTATTTCAAAAAGTAAAAGTACAAAAAATTTGGCGCTGCTAGAGAGAGAGAGAGAGAGAGAGACCTCATTATTTTTTTTTATATCGCCCTTGACTCTTCATATTGTTTATTTTTATATTCCTTTCATAATTGACGCAATTTAAAAAGATTTCATTTTATTTTGTGAGGCTAACACACTTGGCGCCTTTTTTTCCTTTTTTTTAAAAAGGTAATTTTGTTGAGATACCGATTACGCGATTATATTTGATTGCAAAACAAATTTGATTGTAGAGCTCAAGAATTTTTTTCGCTCAACCGATTTTCTGTTAATAAGACGTTTATTCCAGCATTTTTGTTTTAAGCAACAGTTCAGATTTCATCAGAAAGATTAATCGAGCCATCACAAAAGTGATTAGGTAAAAGCGGGGTGATGCGCTTGCCTGATTCCGTTCCCGGCTGTTGATCGTTTTCTTTTCAACTATATTGCAAGCAAAGCAATCATGCAAACGCCTTTTACGGAGATCGCGCGGTTAAATTGTGCGTGAAATGGAACGTCTGCCAGAAAAGTAATTTGTCCCTTTCCGTCCATACCCTCTTTCATTAATTTCATTGCGCAGTTCCGTTCCCCGTCAGCCTTTTTTTTCGTAAATTCCACTTTTTATGAGAGAGAATTTGAAACCTGGGAAAGAAAATATCTGACGCGCGAAAAACTTCGCTGGTTATGATACTACATTTAAATATTAGCGTAATTTTAATTTTATCGTTGATATAATTTCTGTAATTTACGCGTTAGTGAAGAAGCGAGAGGAGAGAATTATTTTTCGTTTCGCTGAAGAAGGCGGGCGATTTATTTCCTTATTGTGAGCTTTTATACATAATGTACCGTACCGTGTACTGCAGCGGATTTTCCTTCCGTTAGTCTCTGCTGGGTTTGATCACCCTCTGTGTGGTTTCACCAAAACGACGTCCTCCACTTAAGCAGGACACGCAGGATCGATCAGCGCAGAATGCCAGCCTGTTTGTCAGATTTCTCTCTATCGCACGTAATTCTGAATCCGATAATGCATTACGTTATTCACGTTATTGCGAAAATATATACAATCGATCTAACAAGCTTTATTTTATAGAAAAGTTTGGCGGTTGAATTCAGAGAAGAAAAACCCGAAAGAAAAAAAGAAGCTGATTGTTCTATATTTATTGAGTGTCTATTGAATCATGATATTATTCTCGATTAATTAATCATGATGTACAGCCAATCAAATCGAAAGACATAAAATATTAAATATAATGATTGATCAAAAAGTGAAATAGATTCGATAAAATCTTTCATTTACGAATCACTGTATTACTAATACGTACAAGTTTTATAATTAAAAGTTGCTGAACATAGAGTTCTACTTCGTCGCGTTTTTTTCTTCTTTTTTTGCTAAACCCACCGATTTTAATTCTAATCGACACACCGCACGATGGTTCGCAACGTTGACGACTGGCACATCGATCGTTTCCCGCAGTTTCCGGGGAGTTTAACTTTCGTGAACGCGGCAGAAAAGGTACTAAAAATTCAAGCGTTGAAATAACGTGTGCATGGAACACGATCGGCCGTGGTCGATCCCACGCATGCACGCATCCATGCACTCACAGAACGTCGCATCGTGAACCTGCCCTAAATTAACCGACAGCCACGCGCACCGGGCTCCGTTCCCGTGTTTACGAGCTGTGAAATTCTGTGTGAAAAGGCAGTATAACTAGCTTGGACGCGACATACGCGAAGCTGTTGAAAAAGTAAATTATTTCTCTTGGCGCGCGTTAAGGTAAAATATGTAAAAGGCGATTGCGGCCGACGTTAGCGTCACCAGAACGCAATTAAATTCCAAATTACGTGGTTAATATAAACCGATACGTACATGGATATACGAATACGTGTTTACGTGAGATACCGTTATAAATATCGTAGATAAAAATATTAAAAACACTGGTATAAATTTTTATGTAATATTCATTACGCAATACGTAATTTTAAAATCATCCTTTCATTTAAAATTAATTCGTAATATATTTAGTGCACATCGTACGAACGGAAAAGAGCGTTCGAAAGGCTTTAATATCTCGAACGATTAATTGGAAAGTAAAAGGATCGGGAACGTCCCTCCTTCAACCTCACGAGTTTGTTCGATTCAACAAGATGCCGTGCCAAGAGAACTCTCGTAGTCCGCGGGTCTATTGTGATAGAGTAATTGCGTTGTTCTTGAATAGTCCGGATTCCACCGTTGTTTCTGCCGTTTACGGTGCTCACTTCTTCCTCTTTTCTCTCTTTTTCTTCCTGTTTTTCCACTTTCACACAAAGTTCGACTCGATTTTTAAAGTTATCGGATCACCCCATGAGTGTAGATCTTTCCTCCGCACGTTAAATTCCCTTTCATTACTTCAAATCCATAAATTATCCAATTTTCCGTGCAGCGGCACGCAAAAAATAACGGATTACAGTCTCGAGCATCGAAATCCATTAGACTAATGAAATTGCATTCGCGAGGTTGGTGCAGGATACTTCCTGAGTACCATGAGAAAATTCCGCTCGTACTTTGGGATCGAAAACGTCGGCCCGTTGCGAATGGTTCTTAATGCCTGGCAGTGGTAATGATGAGGTCAATTAATGTGAACCAGCAAACTCCATCACCCTGTAAACGCTCGAGAAATTTCATTGCAAATGACTTACACGAACTAGTGATGTTCACAATGATGAGAATCGTGAACCATTATTATTATATTTCATTATGTTTATGCATAATGTCAAGCAAATATATGTTCATTGTACAAATACAAAAAATAGGTAACTGAAATATGAGAAATGAATAACTGATATATTGCAGTACATTGATCGACGTGAAATACAAACCTACTGCCAAAATGGACATTTACGCGCGTAGAGAGGTTTCCAGAAATAATAGATATTCGCATAAATCAATGCAGGACAAAATCGTATAGTTATAAGATTTAAGATTTAATAGGCGACAACTCATATCGATAGACATACGACTTATTAATATTGATATTAATATCAGAAAAATTGCGAATTTTTATCATCACGTAGCAGAGGTGAATTTTTTTACCGCCTCCCTCCTGCATATATAATTCATTAATGCGATCTTTTATCAAAAATACTCCGATATTTTAAAGACCTTTTCAGTACCACATATACAACTCTCCTTTCCAATACTTTTTTAATTGCTTATTACAACATTTTTATTAATAAAAATACATACATTTGCTTAATAAAGCTATATCTCTTAATACCTGGTGATTTGATTAAAAACAATTATACAATGTGTTTATTTTTTATGAAAGCTACAAGGAATCGAATTAGGATATGGATATATACTGTAGCATAGTATGTTGTTTCGATGATATTGCGTTTCAGAGTTAATTAATGTGCATGATTAATGCTAACAATCTCTCGTCAATCATCAAGGGTGATTGTTATTGTATCGTATGTAACGGAAATTCACAAGAGTAACGATATTTCGCAAAAGAATATTTCGAAAAAGAATGTACACGAAGTAAAGTGAGGAGAAAAAAAAATGAAATGGGGGGGAGGGGAAAGGAACAGCACAAAAACCACAATTCGCATAACCAGTAGAGGGTTGTCATTTTTCGAAACGCGAGCGTTTCCGCGATACGACGAGATGTTTCGCCCGTGTATCGCACGAGGCTGTTAATCGACGACCGGCGATCTGCACATGGCAGGTTCGCACGTGCATATAAGCGCGTCGTGCATGCATCGATGGAAACGATCGCAAGAGAAGAGAGGGAGGTATCTTGACAGACCACGACAAGAGTGTATCCCGGGGAAGCGCTTGACGCACACGGGAGAGAACGACGAGTGTCCCGTGGCGAGGGGGGGAGGGGGGAGGGACGAGGATAGGGAGGAGCAAAATACCGGATGGAGAAGAGGCTGGATAGTGAGAAAGGGTGGGTCGGCCAGCTGATGTGGCGATCCTGCGGGAGTGCTTGAACCGTGATCACGTTGTTAACCCACCCCGTACCTCATTCAGTTCCTCCCTCCGCCGTTACCAGCCTTCATCCCCTACACGATCGTATGCTCTTTCCGGGCGAGTCTTATGCACATCGGCTGGTGTACGTGGCACTTATTTACATGTCCGCCGTCGCTTCCTCCTCTCGCTTCCTGGTGCTTCACGTTTCGCTGAAAACAACTGTCAATCGGCATCAGACATGATCGCTTGGAATATATCATACGTTATCGCATATTTATTACATTTAATTGATTAATTTATGAGGAAACAGGATAATCGTTTTTGTAGGTCAACATCGATATATGTATTATATAAAGGAATATGATCGTAGTGGACGAGAGTACATGTGCGTCATCGACAATGATGTGTTCATTATAGACGTATGGTATACGATTTCGCCCATATCACATAGCAGGGATTAGCATGTTGGAATCTTCCGACGCGGACAACGATATTACGATTTCAGTCTGAGTTTCCTTGTTGGAGTTTCCTCGGCCGCAGCCGACTCTGCACGTTCACATCATCCTCCGTTTGCAGATCGCACGCGTGTCGAGAGTGATACGGTTTCAGAGACGTTAATTAGTTACATTTCAACGTTAGCGTGACGTGCACGAGCTGTTATGCGATTCCGTCGCCGATGGTGGTGCAATGTCAACAGATAGATATCCGAACGTTGCAGTCGACAGAAAATCATGATATAATCAAGTTTACAATTTGCAAATTGCAAAGTACACAAACAAGGAGTGAATGAAGGAGTGTTAAGGGACTCGCGTTTACTCACACAACTATCTCAGATCATGACGTCAGAAGCAAGAAAACATAACAAAAATTCTTGCAAATTATGAGTATTTAAATAGAAATATTTTTCAATGAAACAGAATTTGTAATCGACAGAATAGATTTACAACGTATTATCTTTTTGTTTCGGAGAAAAATTAAGTCATACTTTAAATTACTATATCATGAATGATGTAAAATATTAATAAAAAGTTTATTTTTATACAAATAATTCGACAGTTTGTTAAAGCTGTAAATATAGCTCCCATTTCGTTTTTGATTATATAATTTATTTCCACATATGGTTATTTAATAATAACGAAACAAAATTTTCGGTATATTTTACAAGTCAATTCTGTCAATTATAAATATTGTTTTATGGAAACATAATTCCATATTAATAAATTTTGTGAGTATTTTTACTATGTATTTTTATGCTAGAATCTAAGATAATAGTGGTGAATGAACATTGAGAAGTTGTAAATATATATATAATACTTTATTTAGTATATATTACATTAAAAGTAATTTCTAATTGTTAACAAGGAATAATTATATGTTACAATATGTAATGGCAAAATAATTTATTGAAATTTATTATAATTCTTGGTTTACCGCAGTTTACTTACCTTTACATGCAAATGAACGGTGCAACATTTTCGCTGTTCTAAGCGAGAATTTTGAATGTGTAAATAAATTAATTATGAGTTACATTAAGATAAATTTGTATGTTGTTTATAATACATGTACGGATTGCGACTGTAATAGCTTGCAAACCTGAATATGATTCGCCATTTAATACATTAACCTGATATGCCAAAGGGTTGTAAACGATCGCAACCCTGCAGCTTACGGTGTGCACCACTCTACTGCATGCAACTGTATCATGTTCTAGTTTGGCCATATTACGTGTGTTCGGTTAGTACTACCTAATCAAGACAACGCCAACTAATATGTAATTTCATATTTTGATATTAAAGAGAATATGAAACATGTAACATTTTTAGTATTAAATCTTCCTTTAATATATGAAAAAAAAACAGCATTAATTTTTCTTTATAATTTAGGGCAGAGCGGGACTATTTTATTCATTTCTCACGATATTGTTTATGTTTCTGAGCAACGTATACTGATCGAACATTTGAGAAGTAGACTTTCAAAATGTGTTTTATGTCTAAAATTTATTATAATTTTCAGAAAACGAGAATGAAAGCACATAAGAAAACTACGCGTTTTACAGAAAGGTACAATTTAAAAAAACCTTTTTAAAAAAAGAAGAAATATACACCAAGTGCATAAAAAAAGGTATTGAATCTCTTAATCAAAAACGAATATGAAATAAATGTAATTAATCAAGTATCTCATTACGCAAGACACATAAGACAGACTGAAAGTGGC